CTCCAACAGCTATTGTGCAGTTTTTTTCATGACAGAAGCCTCCATACAAGCCAACGACAGATTTATTTGAACTGTGGCATTGATCATTATAAAATGTAAATTTACTTATTTGATCCAACATCAATGTTGTTACAGTAACTGTTAAACTGAATGAGCAAACTCTTTGTTTGACAAATACCTCACAGCATCAGCTTTGCTGGCCTCCGGAGTGAGTCGAAGAAGTTCTGTTCAAGCGACTTTTTCAGTCACCCTCTCATATGCTGATCCTACTCCGGGCTGAAAAAGACGGGAGTAGTATGTTGAAAGTTCCACTTGAACCTTCAAAAGTACTATTTCATTTGATACATCCTTTAAATGCTCATCTAGAGATTTCTCAGCAAAAACATTCCCATACGAATCGAAATTTGGTTCAGTTCTGCCCCGCATTTCTTTTGTGAACTCGAAAGAAATCATTCGCGATGAGAAAGCGATGAAATATGATGAAAACGATGACGAATGAGGTGTTAAACAACCACAGAATGAATTGAAGCCTCTAGGTCAAACTGGCTTGCTCCTTGCTTACTCTAAAAGCATTTTCCTTGCCTCAGTGGGAGTTCTCAAGTCACAAGACTGTCACCTACTGCTTGGGACTAGTAACCGAAGGTTTTGGTGTACTGGGGGTTCAGCTGTTCGTCATGGTCTATTCGACATGAACACATGTGTTCAGCAACGACCTGGGTGATGTCGTGTGACAAAAGTGCCCTCCGCAGCTGGTCCCCCAACCGTGTTTTTCGTGACGTTGCGGTTTATTTGTTGAAATATTGTAGTTGTTTTTTCACGAGTTATATGTTGTTCACACAGTTTTTTCGAAAGCTTCTGCAATAGCCATTTCCTCAGTAATTACTTCGAAGTAATTGCTCCAGGGTAATCTTTGATGCTATGAACATCCTGATTTCACTCGTAGGAACGTCGGGGAATTTCAGCTCAGTCGGGTCATTTGGAAGCTTTTCTCATCAATGAAAAGAAGGCGTTGGTATCCGGCGATTAATGGAAAGCTGATTTTGAGGATCTTGAAAGTATCGAGGTTATAGGAAGCTATTCAGGATCTGTCCAATGACCCTCAGGAACTCCCAGTTCGGTTCCCTGAACCATCTCTTTCATAGTCAAACGACCTCCGAAACCCTGCCTGTCTCTCTCATCTTTAGAAAAAGTTTAGACCCTCCTTGAGGAGGATACCACCTCCTTGTGGTTTAACATGAATATCTCAATGGGGAAATCTTTCTGTGGAACGGGCCAAGCGGATTCGGCCGTTTTCTCGAATGTTTGGAGAGTTATCCGATTTTTTTCTTGACATAATGCGTCGACAGCATGCAATTAACTTGCTGCTGAACTTTCAAATTGGTTTCTCAACAGATCTTCGAGACTTTTCTTTGATGTGTTGACTGTGAAAACCCTACACTCCCATGTTCGCCACATCGTAATGGATAGCCTAAGGCCAGTAAGCCTCGTTTCGCACCTGCTGAGACCCCTAATTAAGTACGATCAAAAACACTAGCGACCAACCAACCAGCTTTTCTCGTCAATGATATTGGTACTGGGGGCGGTCGGTTGGTGGCTGCCTGCGATGATCGGTGGTCGCGGGCGGTGTTTGAGGAGGGTGTCGACACCCTCCTCAACTCGTCAGGTCGACGACTCGGACGCCTCTCTCGTGTGGCCCCGCCCACCCGAGAAGACGACGACGACGAGGACAAGCAAGACTCATTAGTCGGACGATGGCGATGAACCGCCTCCCGTGTCGGACTGTCGTCGATATGACACGGTTTGCACGTGTTCCTTCCAAGATGAGCTCCGCCGATGAGCTCAGCTTTTCCTTCCTTCCTCTATCCTTCCAGTGGGCGGATGCTGTTAAATGTTCAGTGGTAATCGTCAACCTCGTTGTACTTGTCGACAAGAGTGCATGCTACCGTAATCCTCCCGTGCTGGGTGTGTGTTTTTCTCTGAAGTCCTTCTCCAGCTAATCTCTTCAAGTGTTTTACGTTTTGCTTTGTGTCTCTCTAAACATGGCTAGTCGTTCGTGTGAATGTTGATTAGCCTTGAACTACCGCTTCCTTTCATTCTCGATTCGATATTTACAGAATTAAGGGCTACAATGTAAACCCCTTCTTTGCAGGACGCTTACAAGACGTTCCTGGCTTCCTCCCTCTTCCCTCACCCAGTTCCTGATGTTGATCTCCTAATTTCCCGTTTTTCTCATTTTCCTGGATCATCTATCGTCTTCAGATGCCAGCATTTTTTTAAAACTTCTTCTACTGGCTAAGCAAGCCATGCCCTCGCTCCCAGGCCGTGCTGTCATTCGACTTCTTCCCTCCCAAATGTGTTACGCTCATACAGTCTCTACTGTAGGGGTTTTCCCCGAATCTACCCGGACCATTGATTTTGTGTGGTTGCCTGTGGGAATGTTTATTAGGTTTTATGGGCGTTTACACATTGTCTATACATAACTCTTTCGTTGAACGATATCCTCAACAACTGTTACACATGTACCTCAACCCCAGGTGCAAGGTGTGTTTGGGGAACGCCCTTTACATTACATTAGCATCAGTCTGTACCGCAGGTGTTTCGCCCTGGTTACCCTGATGATCCTGGATAAACCTAAGTTTCGAGCGATAGCTTCCAATAGATAACTTCCTTCCTTTGCTACTCTATTTTTTAGTCGCCCGATTTTTCTGCTTCTTCTTCCTTACACCCCATTGAACCTGCCTCAGAGAGAAACCTTTTGCACGCACATTAACACCTCCCAATTGGGTGGAAACGTCATTGATACTTTGTAATCGACTCATTGTTCATTGTCTATGATGATGATTGTTATTGTGTTGCCGAATGTAAAACTGCCTGCACCGATTGGCCCCAAACGGGGCAGCGTCGTAAGCCACACACCGCATTCCCGATGACGCTGGTCTGCCTTCGGCCCGTTTCACACGTGCACGTGGTGGGGTAGTTTCTGTCGTTGAACATTTTCATCCCGACATGTTACACCTCTTCATTTGCCGCACCCATCTGATCACCCAGTCGCTGCTAAAAGTCCTCGGTCGGTCAGCTTGGGGACTATCGCCCCATGGCTGCCGCCTGGCCAGTCCGAGTCATTCGTCATTTTCTCAATGTCCCACCTGTAAACACCTTCACCTATATGCATAAAACTCCCTAACAAGCGAATTAGTGTAATGTTAAATGTTTATTGTGTTGTGTGATGTCTTTAGAGACGTCCTCTGTTACACTGTCAGTCAACCATGCGCATTACTGATCACATCATAGGTTACAATAACAATCATCATCACCTTTTATGTTCTATACCTTGTATTACTACGTTGTTCTCATGTCCAAGCAATGCCGTTAGCCATTACGCCCCGTTCCCGTGGCCCTCCTCCTCCTGTTCCCCGCCCCTCATTTCCCTCGGCTACCGTAATCCCGGGGAGACGTCGTTGAACGCAGGGGCAGCGGCAGTGTTGGTGAACCTCAACAAGCTGGCGCACCGAATCAACGCCGAGTGGGCGGAGCGGAGGAGGAGCGCCCGGGCTGCCTCCGTCCGGCGGCCCACCAATTACGTCCCCGTGGGCGGAGCTTGTGAACAGCATGTTCATTTTGTAACAACATAATTCTCGGCAGCGAATCGTCGCGGTGGCCGCGCGTTTGTCGCCGCACGAAAGTCGCCACCGCAATGTCTGGGATCCCATACCCATTTGGGAATATTGACCATGAATTTCAAGAATGTTAACTTATTGATTGGTAGTGTCCTCCCTTCACATCATTTTTTGAAATTCTTTTAAAATGACGTTTTTTTTTTGGAGTTCGACCCTTTTAACGACTGAATTTGCCGTTGATTTGATCGTTTTTGCTGTCCACCTTAATGATTTGTTTTAAATGGACTTTATTCCACGTGTGACACGGCGGTTTCTCAGTACCGACCAATTTATGATGTTACAACATGCCTGGTAACACCGTTGTGCATCGCCCCTATCATTGTGTCTATCCGTTTTCGCTGATCGTCGTTCTCATCATCTTTACCCGGGTCTATTGTGTCCCCCATATCATCGTATCGTTTATCAGCACTCCCTACCTGGCGGGGGTACTCAATGCGCTCGGGCGAGCGCCACTGACTGAGCGCAACCATCATCATAGCACCTATCCCCATCATGTTTCACCCGGGGTATATGATCGAGATTGGATGAGCCGCGGGGTGAATTTTCTCCCCCCGTGCCCATCTTGATGCGGCGGGGGCCCGTGACGACGCTCGTTCTCACTCTCGATCATCACCGCGCTGATAAACTATCGAATCATTGGGATCACTAAAATTTATCGATATTTATCTAAGAATATCATTGTCTTGGCATGGGTTTCAGTACCTTTTTTCCAGAGTTTTTTTTTGTTCTCGAGTAGTTCGATTTTACTGGTTACCCTACCCTCCGATTCCCACTCTTTGAAGTTGTATTGCTGTCCGAGCCGTTAAAGTACTTATTTTGCTCGGTAATTTGGAAAAAACTTTATTGAAAGCCTTTCAGTGTACCTCTCTATACCAATTCGTATTCCCATCTATCTAGCCCTAGTCATTGCGACATCTAACGAGGGCTCATGATGGCATTCAATTCGGCCTTCAATCCGGCTCAGGTGAAGACCATTTCCATTCGTTTCCTCATCCCTACAATATTATTATTCTTTTTATTCTGCCAAAAGGAGAATTTGATGAGCGAGGAAGTTTATGAAAAGAGGCGTCGATGAAGAAATCGACTGCTCATGAATTGTTGCAAATGATACTCATTAAATTGTTTCCGTTGATTGTTAAAGCGAATTGTTCGCTCAAAAAAGATTTCCTTCCCATTCAGTAATAATTTCAGTCAATAAACTCTTATAGTTAATGATACTGGCGGTTCTAGACGCCCAAACCTGCCATGGCTTTCGACTTCTGATCGCCTCCTTTTCAGCTTCTCACCCAAGCCGCCGGCCAACCGTTAAAACCTGACGGTTGTATGGAGCTGAACGCGGACGCTCTACGATATCTGGCCAGTGGCAATCCACTTTTCGGTGGTCCATTCCCGTTTGCAGCCGCTGGTGGTGTTCCCGGTGTGGCTCCGGCAGATGCATTCCGTGCTATGGCTGCCCAAGCCGGTTTACCGTTTCCGGTCATGTACCCGGGTATGCAACCGGTCAGTTTCCCCTATTGTTTCTTTCTTTTTGACTTTCTTTTCTTTTCTTTTCTNCCGTTTGCAGCCGCTGGTGGTGTTCCCGGTGTGGCTCCGGCAGATGCATTCCGTGCTATGGCTGCCCAAGCCGGTTTACCATTTCCGGTCATGTACCCAGGAATGCAACCGGTCAGTTTTCCCCATTGTTTCTTTCTTTTTGACTTTCTTTTCTTTTCTTTTCTCACGTTTTCTCCCCACTGTTTTCTCTCGTCCTTTGTCTATTATTTCGTCAACGGCCGACGCCACACGAATGCCCTTGTACATGCAGAGCAGAGGACCCAGCGACCCCTTCGCTCCGGTCCCCGCTTATCGCGACCATCTTTTTCCTGACCATCTTTACTCACCACTTATTTCTTGTGTTTGAAACATTACCCTTTTGCCCTTGTGCCCTTCACAGGCCATAGAATACTCAAGTTTAGCTCCCCCAGTTGGCTGCTGTTGTTCCACCCCGTGTATTTTGCCTGAAGGCGCTGTGTTGTCACAATATTGTCGCTACTAATACATCCTGCTCAGCTTACCGTATCCGGCCACGAAAAGCAATTTCAATTCAGTTGCTGCTGCTGCTGCTGCTGCTCCTCTGAGCCCCGTGTTTTCCCCCCACTGTGTGCGAAAGCCCGTCCTGAAAACATTATCGTGTTTTGCGCTTGTTCCTCTACCTCGTCACATACCCATATCAACTTGCGTCGTTACCGTAATCGTTTGTCATGTAGTAGTGGTCCCAATTGGAAGACCAATACACTGCTCTGCCATCTAGTACTACGTCAACTAGCTATGGCAGCGATCACTACACGTAGGTGGCGTCAAGGCCGTATCTAGTCATTATGTATGTTCAACGCTGACGTACAAAGACAGACACTAACCCGATTTCATTTCAAAGTTTACCTAGTCCCTTTGGTGGTTTAAATGGTCATTTTCAGGATGTCAAACCGGAAATGATGCCTGTTGGTGGTGGACCAATTCCTAGTTTCGTATTTGACGTGATGAACCCTTATCACCCTTATGCTGCTGGTCTGGATGGTGCTCGACGGAAGAACGCCACCCGAGAAACGACGGCTCCGCTGAAAGCCTGGTTGACTGATCACCGCAAGAATCCGTATCCGACGAAAGGCGAAAAGGTCATGCTAGCCGTAATGACGAAAATGACGCTTACACAGGTTTGTCCAGTCAGAGTTGATACGGTAGTACTGTGCTGATTGATACAAATTATTACAATAATTCAAAAACACACATACATATATGGCGATACATAGTAATTGCGTTCGGTCGGTCGGTCGGTCGCTGGCCCGCTAAGCAGATTCTTATCTCGGTAATTTATAAAGCGTTAATCGTCGCCCACTGGAACACACTGAACCGACAAGTGCAGTTGAAATTCTGAAGCACGTCGACGACTGCCCGTAGACCCCAATGGCAATGCCATCGAAGCGGGGCGTCTTTGGGAAATTGCGTGGATCACCTTTCCGCTAACCTCCTCGGACTTAATTATCGCCTCATTGGATAGCGATATACGTAAGAAGATAATTACGCCACGTCGCGCCATGTCTTTGATCTTTCAATCAAAATTTTTGCGCTAATTGTGATTCGCAGTAGTTTTCGGATGATTGCCCAAGTGTGGTTAGTGGCGGTGGGAAACTTGTCCCCTTTGCCCAAACGGTAACTGTGGCCTTGTTGATTGCTAGTAGGCTTGTAGATGTTATCGCATGACAAGAATTCTCGCCTCGTTCAAAGCGTTTTAGCGAAATCGCCATGTCATCGGCGTAGGGTTTCAAACGGCGCCGAGCGTTGAAGAAACAGATATGACCTGATTGCAATCGCCTACCTACCCATGTCGCTCGCTCAGCATAGCTTCATTTCGATGAGCGCCCGATGATCGATGTTGATTGTGATGAGATTTGTAGGTGTCCACTTGGTTTGCAAACGCTCGAAGACGTTTAAAGAAGGAGAACAAGATGACGTGGTCACCACAAAATCGCCGTAGTGATGATCCCGATGATGACGATCTGGCCGACATCGATGCCATCAGTGGAGTGGATGGCATTGACCGCCCATCCAGCTCCATGTCCGACATGTCCGAGAAGAAAGGCGGTAAGTGCACGAGTTATAAGCCAAGAGTAACTTCGGTTCCCTATGTACCCATTGACAACTGGGCCCACCTTTTGGCCCTACAACTACCAGCAATAATCCTTTCCCAATTTCAGAAGCTCCAGCCACCTCCGTGACGAATAACAACCTCAAAGACGCCTCCGATGTCAGTACACCGAAGAAAGCCCCAGGAAAAATCTGGTCAATAGCCGACACCCTCGGCGAGTTGTCCGACTCGACGACGAAAGCCGAAAGTGAAGCTAGCAGCTCGAAAAAGGTCAATCCTCCTCCTCATCCGTGAACTATCGCCCTTACTTTTCCCCTAATCATCCTACCCACTTTCAGGATACTCCCACCACTGATGAGGATCCTACGGGAGCAGCACAATTTCAACGAATGTTCGCTTTGTCCAATTTCCAATTCCCACCACAAATGTTGGCCGCAATGGGTCGACCGGGTGGTATGCCACCGATGCCATTTCTGAATCCGTTGGCGTTGATGGGTTTTGCTGCACAACATCATCATCAACAACATCCTTCTATGAGTGGTCAGTGGTTTTTATCTTCAGTTCGGGGGAAGATTCTGAAGAGTGAAGATGTACTTAGGAGCATTTCTGGACATGACAGGGGCATTTTCGAAAACCAGTTTCAAGGTGTAACTACTAGTGAGAGAACATGCATAACGCACGTTTTTTCCACCCGGGAAAAATCAACGGGCAATGATCGATTTTCTTTCTTTCTGTTACGTCTTCGGTTGCTGTACAAAGGTGTTGCTGTGTGGCTGTGGCTCCTCAGTATCGGTCGCAGCAATGTTGTGCACTTTGGCATTGTGCTATCTTAATCCCTTGTAATACATGGTCCGAGGTGTTCGTGATAACACCCGCGCTCACTGACTTGTTTCGGGAACACACCATAGCGGGTGATTGGCTGGTGGGGACCTCACCTCATGGGGGAAGACTGAGGGGAGTTTGAATATCGGGCTATAGCTTCAAAGCGAGCACCGACCGATGAGAGCGATATAAGTCGCTCACTCGCCTTGTCCGGCTTGAGCCCTGCTCGGGTTCCCCACACCACAGCATAATCCCATTCGCTCTTTTGTGACATCTCATCGTTTCGCATATAAAACAAATGAATCGCGACTTTTTCGGTTGATTTATGACGACGCATAAATTGGTTGCTGCGAGCGGCCGTAAAACTGTCGACGCACTGATATCAGCGATTTTTTCTCCGAGAGTCACCGTGATGAACGAGAGCGTTTGCGATTTTTTACATCGTCTAGATCGCCATCAGTGACCGACCGATCGGACGCGCCTCTCTTGTCTGTCAGATGACAACAGCGAAAGGGCTTCAGGGTAATTGTGAGCACCAGAAGAACTCGTCCGCGTAGTGGGTTGCTTGGGGGCATGAAAACCAAAGAATCCGAGCCCCGGCTCCTAGTGAAGGGGGGAAATTTTCTCAAATCTCAAATTCTAGGGGACCCAGCAGAAGTAGCAAGTCCTGTTGACTCGGGCCTGATTCATAGGTAATACTGGAATCGCTGTGAATGGGCCAAGTATCGATGGCACATAATTACCGTCCCATGAAGGACATCCGCTATGAGTGAAAAAAATGGTGAAGGCAAAAGAAGCCGTCTTACCGACAGTCATTCGAGTTAAGGGAGTAAGAGGCTATTTGAAAGAAAGCGAGGAGTAGAAATGAACTCTCGGTTACCGGGCATTGGTAGGGACAGAATTAGTGTTTTCTAGAGGTATTCTTGATCCCAAAACACCTAAACGTGCAAGGAAGTATCGGATCTGGCGCGTGCACAAGGTGCTCAATAGACATCGCGGATGGTTTCTATTTTTCTTCACATTTTTTTTGGCATTGCGCTTAACCTTCCTGGAATTCGCGTCTTTTTGATTGCTTCAAAGTTCATGGCGCATTCGAACCCTAATAGAGGAGCCACTCACCTGCTGAACAAGCCTTGTCTTTTTCCACTTAATATATGCAGCTCTCCTCTGGCCATTACGCAGCTACACAGCATACCGTACACAAGGGTGACAAAGGTTCAAAAATAGGGAAACCTTGACTGTGGTATGAGAACCTTTGAACATATTTTGCAAGGGCGTTTGGGATTACATCTTTTTTGACCAACTTTCACTAATGGGATCGTTCTGCCTTATCCAAGGGACACCCTGGGAATGCAGTTGCTGCATTTCTGTAGCTGTTTCAGCTCCCTCCAAACAAATCCTCATTATCTGGCCGAAAATCAGTAATGACAGCCGTGAATGAGCTGAAATTTAAACGAGTAATTATCTACCGGTGTCCTTGCCATTGTCATTGCGTCGTCCTTATTTGTGTGTCGCTCCTTCTTTCTTTTCAAGCGGCAGCGGCATTCTTCAGCCTGTTGGCGAGTAATCAACAGATGTTATTCACTAATTATATCAACTAACCAACCTGTCTACTTCCTTGATCGACGTTTTAAATCATCATGTATCATTTAGGTTCGTTCTCATCGGATGCTCAATCCCTGAGTCCGTCATCAAGTCATTCACCGACCGACTCAACTACGGGTGCTGCCAGAAGTCCTACCCAAGCTGCTCCAGCAAGTCCACCACCGCCGACGGCGACAGCTGTGAACACTTCAGCCTTGTCATCTCCCTCGGCTTCGGTCAGTGAGACGAGTACGTCCAGTACGGCGACGGTGGCCTCCGCAGTGGTCAGTCCTATGCAATCGTCCGCACACGGGTCTAATGATGGCCGATGATCTCGACGAATTCATGAGCCATTTATCTCTTTGTACAGTAAATTCATAAGACATGCGCAACTCCTCGAACGCCCTCCCCTATCTCTGAATACAGCCCCTATTCTGTTGCTTCTGGATCGATATATCGATTTACGCGCGCGCGACATTGTTGTAGAAAGGTTTCTTTTGTGATTTCGTCGTGTTCTCTGCCTAAAATTGTTTCAATTTAGATGGAATAGGGTATACCATTGCTGCATACATATGCAACCATCCCAGTTGATTTTTTNNTTTTTTTTAGCATTCAGAGTTCTTTTAGGTTACTGTAGTTTTTCCTCGTTTATGTTTCTCTGTTCTCTCTCAGTATGTTATACTCTTTAGCCCTAATGATGCTTTTATTGACATTTGTGATTCTGCATGAAATATAATTTTCTATACACATTACCCTTCTCTTCTTTTCCCCATCCCCCTATCAAACTCCCATGACTTCTAGGTGGTAAAACTGAAGAACAGTATTTATTCATTTCTTGATGTGATCTTATTTGCATATTGGTTGATAAAATCGATAAATCAATAGTTCATGTTCCCCAGGGACAAGTGTAACCCGAAAAATTTTTGAGCAGAGTGTTCCATGGACTTTGATCTGGGTGTACTTCCAACAATGGTAACTAAAGACATCCAAATCAAAGGTGGCAGGACCAAAACCGCGGACGTCAGTTAGTCTCCTTAGAAGGCATCGATTCTTTCGACGTTTTTCTAGGGTTTACACCTGTCGTCAAGTACAGATAAGCAGCTGAACAAACGTTGATCTCGTCGTTGTTTGACAGTCCACTGGACTGCTTAAAGGGGCTTAGCGATAGCCCCATTTGAAAAAATGATCGATATTGATCGGGTATTACATAAGGGTTAAAAATGTTGCATCGCATTATTATGGCTAGAGAATGGAGCGATGCTTAAAGTGCCATACAACCGGAACCTCTTTGTTGAACGATGAATTACAAACATTGCCTAACAAATAAGTTTGTTCCATTGTTTATACGGTGGAGGTGATCGTCGTCGCGCGACGCCGCCGCGCGCCACGTGACGCTTTTGCGGGAATTCGGGGTGATTCGTGATGCGCTAAAGCTACGACCGCAACGCATACGCACTTGATGATTTTCACGAATTTAAGACAAGGAGAATTTTCGTCGTTGTTCCAGCAAAATACACTTGCAATGAGGACAGAAAAACAACTTATAAAAGTACAGTGCCTTTATTTATTAGGTTTTTGCCAAAACAAACATAATGTTATTGAAGATTTTTTCTGCCGTGCACTTTCAGTTTCTGTTTGAAATTTGTTACGCTGTCAATGAATGTATCGTCGTCATGATACTCTTGTCTCTTTTGAGATTCAATTACCCGCACAAAGAAATTTCCGGTCGTAGTTCCACCACAATGATCCTACCCTGCAAATACCGCAAATTCCGCAGCAACTCGTCTCTTTAACTGAAATTGTAAATTACTCAACTACACTGATAGTGATGTTCTATTGGTGATAAATCAAATGAGAGAGTCGTAGACGCCGAAACGACACGGATCGGTGTCAATCAGCAGTTTTTTTCTGTTCGTAACCTTCCATAAGTCGAAACGAAACAATCGTAACAACATAGGGTATTTTGGGGATGGCCAAAGCCAAACAAGAAATAGTGAAACTAATCAGAGAGTAAGATGAAAGTTGTGAAAAAAGGAGTTCATCTTCGGGTGATTCGATCCTTACCTGGCAGTTTTTTCGACATTGAAACGATGGAATCACTGGAATGGAAGAAGCATACTGTGCGACGCCGGAACTTCCCGAGTTCTTGAGAAAGGATCTCCCTCATGAACTTTCTTCAAGCTCCCGAATTGAATCAAAATATGAAATTAATTGTGGGAATAATCCTTAAGATTGACTGAATACTCATGGTCTGCCATCCACCAAAATATCGAGCAATGCCCCCGTGGGCCTGTCAAAGAATGAATACATGAGACAGGGTGGGAACGGTGAAAAGAGGCGTAGCCACCACTTCGTCAATAAGCTGATGGAAGTTCAATGAAAGCAGCGAGACGTCCGGTTCTTCCACAGAAGGTCAATCTGTACCGATAGCGACTGGGAGCAATCGGCCCGTTGAATAGCTCAGAAAAATGACATGTGCATATTGAATACGCTTTCAAACGGCTCCACAATCATGGAGGACAGGTTGAAGGTGTGGCGCGGGGAAATATGGGAAGTTTTGCCGTAAGTAACCATGCTACTTTACCTTTTCAAAGAGAATCTGTATCTGAGGAATTCGGTCGTCTGTCCATTTGATAGAAGAGGTTTTACTGTAATGAAACCACCCAAGCGTTTTTACCCAATCAAACCCGGCCTTACCAATATACCGTTCTCAACACCTTTTCAATATTGAAATTTCTTGTTAAGAAGATTTCATTTGTTCCATCGACGTCAATTTCTCTATTACCAGGCAAATATGTGGCTGTAATAGGCTGGACTACGTGAACATTTGTGCGCTGTACAGCCACAGACATTAACTCTTTGATGTTCTCCAGAAAAAACTGTGATTA